TATGTTTAGACTGTTAGGATATTGCATTGATCTCCACCCATACTGTACGTTTTCAGTAAACCCACAGGTGTACGGTTTGGTGGTTTGCTCTTTCATTCCTTCCTGCAGCACGTGAATGGGTCTCCTACCATGTCCCAGGCCTGTGCTAGGCATGGGAGGGTCAGCTCTGAGTTCTCGTGTCTGCCATCAAGCGGCATGGATACACGTGATGGCACCTGCCAGGACAATTTTTGTAAAACCACTTTTCCTGTGACTGGAAAGTGGTAGGTAAAACAACCCCAAGCCCTAGCTTTGCTCCCAGTTAGTTGCATGAACTTGTATTGGCCAAATAACCTCTATGAGCCTGAGTCTCCTCACCTGTTAAATGGCGATAGCAGCCTCAGTCTGCTGCTGTCCTGCCCACCTCGCAGAGCTGTGGCCCTTCCACTGGAGAATTCTATACAGTGCTTTACAAACACGAGACGGTCTTGTCCTTAGTCCCTCAACGTGCATATGTGAAAGTGCTTTGAAAACTGTAGGGCTTTAAACACAAAGAGAGAATGACAGTGTTGTCTCTGCCCTCTACTGAGGTTAAAAGAGGGCATTGCGAGGGCATGGTAGTAAAGAACAGGAGACTCAAGCCATTGCCACAGAGAAGACCAAGTTTCCCGGTGCCAAGGTGTGGCTCAGAGCCAGGTCCTTGGCAACGGAATTGACCATGGCCTTGTCCTTCCAGTGCACCAGGTAGCAGAGCGGGTGGAGGCCCTGGGGCAGTTTGTCATGAAGACCAGGAGGACCCTCAAAGGCCACGGGAACAAAGTTCTCTGCATGGACTGGTGCAAAGATAAGAGGAGGATCGTGAGCTCGTCACAGGTATGTCGCACCTGTTGTGTGATGGTGAGCAGATTTCTGATTTTATAGCTAAGGGGGACGAGAGCCGTCCTTTTCAAAACACCCTTTCTGATCCTTATGACTCTGCTTATTCTCCAAAGAACATGAGTTTAGCATGGTTCAGAATACTCTTTTGTACTGCAGAATTTCACTAATTTTTGGAAAGATTTGGAAGTGATAATACCTAAAACAGCGTAAACTCTGTTTGACAATCCATTCAAAAGCATTTCTTCCTGAGCATGTTTCATAGTCTTACTTGTGAGTGAAACCATTTTTAAAATAGTGTTCCCCCCCCCCCAAAATTGAGGGCATAAGTGGTTGAGAGTCCACTGTGGCTTCTTTAGAAAGTTGAGCTATTTTTTATGCCTTAAAGAATAAATTTAAGATCCAGATTTTGTGAAGTATAATTTTTCATTCATTTTATATAGTTGACAGTTTATTTTACGTCTTACATTGTAGTTATCCATTGCTGGATAAGTTATTATCCCAGATTTTAACAACTTAAAACAACAAATATTTATCTTACATGGTTTCAGAGTCAGGAGTGCGGAGCAGCTGAGCTGGGTGGTCCTGGCTCAGGGCCTCTCATGAGGATGCACTCAATATGCTGGTCAAGGCTGCTGTCATCTGACAACTTGACTAAGGCAGAAGCTTATTTCCAAAGTGGCTCACTCACATAGCATTTGGCTGGAGGTCTTAGTTCGGTACATGTGGACCTTTCCCTAGGCTGCTCAGGACATGGTAGCTGGGCTCCCCCAAAGCAAGTGATCAAAGAGAGGGAGACAAAGGCCAAAGCCATGCTTCTGTGACCTGGCCTCACAAGTGGCATTCCGTCCCTTCTGCTGTATTCCACTGGTCATACATGCCAATTCTGATGTAAGGATGGAGGGGCCTACACAAGGGTGTGACTAGCAAGAGGCTGGCTACCACTGCTTAGTACTTGTTATGTTTATTTTGATGTTACATGCATTGAACATAAAACTAGAAGCTGCAGTCATATATCTTTATGGCCAATTTGGCCTTCCCGCACCCCTGCCATCAACCCAGCTTTTTCAAAGGACAGTGTGGGGTTTTTTATAATAACACTTTTAAGTATAAAAACATTACATATTCTAAATAACCCACAAGCTCTAACATCTATGTCAGTGTTGTGTTTGATAGGGCAGGGGTGATTAATCTCCTGTATGTCACAAATAAATCTAGTATGTCATGTTGCACTTGCTTGTTTTGTGTTCATAACAACTTTATCACTTTTGTATTTTACTACGTTGAAGAAACACTAGAAGAGAGAGCACAGGAAAGGTTTTTACTCCCCGCACCCTGTCACAACCATTATTTGTATTTTAGAGCATTTCTTCTACACATTGTTTTTCGAATGCTCATTTTTCCAAAGTGGTTATTGAGATGTACATGTTGCTACGTAGCCTTTTAGATTTTTTAATCCTTAGATGTATAATATGTGTTGGATTTTCTGTCACTCATGTACTACCCTGATTAGAGAGGGAGGGAGACCAGGAGGGCTGACACGCTCCATCCATCCACCTCCGCTGCAGAGAGAAGACAAGTGGGGTGGGCGTGGGAGGAAGCTAAAACTGCAGGAAGGCTCTGGAACAGACTTTGAGTGACTCAGAGCAGCCCTTCTCCCTTAGAAGGCAGGAGGCTGATCAGCCTGACTGTGTGGGCCAGGATTGGGGCGGAGGCACAGTCTTTCCAGGTACGTAGGCCCCTGGTGTATAAATCTGTGCTCACGAAGGGGACTCCATTTAGTTTTATGAGATTGATTTTAGCCTTTTGGATGCCTTTTTCTCTCCAGAGTGCACCGTGGGTGGGCAGTGGGGACAGGCATGCAGGCAGAGCAGGGGAGGAAGCCACCAAAGTGAATGCTGACGCGGGCCATGCCGAGTCAGTGCCCCCACCCAGCAAGCAGGGGCTCCAGGCCTGGAAGACCCCAAGACAGGCCTGGATCCCCTGCTATGTTCTCTGCTCTGTTACCTAATTTACCCCACATGTCATGTTTGAGTGTTTAGTCAGAGAAGTTAGATCAGAAAAACCAAGGTACTTAGGAATCTTGAAGGGCCCGAAAGTGCCGACTCTGACCTTATTTCAGGGCCCGTTAGCCACACGCAGCTTGAATATGGAAATCTGCCATCCAATCTTGTGAAGCAAGCAGCTGTGTCACTTCAGATAATCGGAACTTCTTTGTGCCCCTAGGTGACATTGCTCCCCACCCCCCACCCCACCCCCATCACTGCCTCATTCACCATATTTGGCTCCAAATGCTTGAGTGTTTAAAAAAAACAAGTGTGCCATAGAGGCTGCAGATTCACCATCTCTGAGGGTGCCTGGGGGACCCGTGTGCTGAAGGAAGTCAGCTCAGCCATCTTCTTCCTCCCTCAGCCAGAGCCTGGGGAGCCCAGAACCCACACACCACGTCTGGGCAGGTAACTGTGTTATAGGGACCAGGGCCCGTGTGGATTTATCTCTGGTGGGTTTGTATTACAAATAGATGACCTCGTAGTCACGCCCCACACCCCCAGTGTAGGCTGCAGCAGTGGTTACAATGCAAGTGGACTGGTTGACAACTCCTGAACTGTTTACTGTTTTCCTTCCAGGATGGGAAGGTGATCGTGTGGGATTCCTTCACAACTAACAAGGTACAGTGGTGTCCCCGGCGCACTGAGGCACCTCAGAACCCCAGCCTAGTTTAAAGGTAGTTCAGCTCTCCAGCCCTGTCCTCATTCCCTGCCTCGTGGGGAACCTGTCTGGGAACGGAAACCCCACAAAAGCCCATCTGTGTTGGAACAAATCTGCAGCCCACTGTATTATTCATTTCTCTCTCGAGCTCTCAGAGAAGAGCATGTACAGTCACCACAGAGGGTGCAAAAAAAGGAGGGGCGGGCAGGGCATGGCCTGGAAAACTGACCCCATTCACACATGCAGCTGCATTTCTTCTTCTTCTGAGTGATAGTAAGAGGCACGCAGATCCCCCGCTTTCCATCCCCTCTCTGTGGCCAGACTCCATGGCACTGCGGACATGAGCAGATGGTGGGAGGGGAAGCCCAGGCTGCAGGGGCTTGAACCGCGCTATCCAGGGATGCAGTGGCGTCTGAGCCCCTTGCAACTCTGGCCTGAGCATCGGTATTAGACCTGAATTTAGACTCCTAACTAAAGGGAAAGACCGAAATCTACGTGCAGGTGCTCGCGTGCCTACATTGTAGTGGCATTTACAATGATGAGCATTGTGTGTTAAATATGGATTCCAGTATTTACTTAGAAAATCTTCCTTTTCACTCTGTTAAAAAAGGAGACCTATATCTGTCTCAAATCGAACAGTATCCATATTCTGCATTATAGCAGGCTCTTATACACTCACAAGTCAACAGACTTATACTATATATGTAAAAAGTCATTCAAGAACAGATTTTAAAAATAGGGGGAATCCGTAAATATGAAGTATGTATCAGAAATGAAATTTGGATAGACCTTTTTAAAAAAAAGGAGTCCCAATATTCATTCAGAAGAACAAGGGGAGTACAACTTTAAGAACGAAGTTAAACATTAAGGATATATTTTTTTTTTTTGCTAGTTGAGATTTTTAACTTTTAGACTATATGATGTAAAGTTTGGTTGATTATAGGAGGCTGAGTCTCCTTGTCAGTTGCAAGCTAATAGTTACCCCACTCCACTGCCCTTTGAAACTGTAATTTGAACATGTAATTCAATAGGAACACAAGTGATTTTATTTACTTATTTATTTATTTTGGTAAAAATTTGAAGACATTTTGTGTAGACTATGCCCTTGTTTATTCTGTGAATGGTGCATACTGTATTTCAGGAGCATGCAGTCACCATGCCCTGCACGTGGGTGATGGCGTGTGCATACGCCCCGTCGGGATGTGCTATTGCGTGTGGGTAAGTAGGGCCTGCAGCAGCTCTTCCGGCTTCCTAGTTAGTCATCAAGTACTGTCTCCTATGGGCAGAAACACGCAAACAATATGTTAAATTCCTCCCTGAACTTTATCAAAGAAAAAAATCAACACAAAAACCTCTTTGATAATTAATTTTCATTACAGACGGACAGTAGTGTAAGTTTTAAACCTCTCCCCTCCACTCTCAAATGCTGTTGGTGGGAACTATAAATTGGTGCAAATATTTTGGAAAGCATGTTGGTAGTGTGTATCAGAAGCCTTGAAAAATGTATAACCCTAGGTCTAGTGATTTTACATAAGAACTTGTTTGGAAGGAGTAATCCAAAATGTAGAAAAAACTATATGAATAATAACATTTATTGTAGTATTATTTAAAATAAAGCCACAAAAGGGGAAACAATATGCCCATCACAGGAAATTAAGTGAATTGTGGTACATGAATTGAATGGAATGTTATACAGCCATTAAAAGGAAAATTCTTAGTTACATTAAGTGAAAAGAGCTTTCAGGTTACTAGGAAGATTGTGCCTTATTCTCTGTGCTCCTGGAGCTCAGTTTAACAGGGTTGGGGCAATGAGAACTGCAACCACCATGATTCCCTGTCCCCGTGTTAAACAATTCTGAGACCATTCAAAATATCTCCACTGTAGAATCTCAGCTATGCTTAGAAAAGAGGCATTAGCATAAAGGCTGTGATGAACTACACTGAAAATGCACTAGTAGTTCTTTCTGGAAGACACAGCTATGGGTATTTTTCTCTTCTTTATAATTTTCTTTATTTTCAGTTTTTTAAAGATAAGCATGTATTATTTTTATAATCAGGAGAAAAGAGTTTTATTTCAAATATGGAAACCCTGGGCCTCCAAGCAAAAGCTTTGGAGCTTCCTCCAGCCAATGTCACCCAAGCCATCATCCCCAGCGTCCCTTTCTTTGGGTGGCTGCTTTGGGGGCATCTTCCCACTCTCTCTCTCCACTTGCCAAGACCTGGTGTACCTTTGGAACCCATGCTCACATGCATGTATTTCATATTTTTT